CAGCTACAGAGAAGGTGCGGAGAAAGGTCAACTATAGTATATGAGAGGTCCATTCATAACAGTGGGGAAGAAGCTTTTATACAAACTTTTATATCTTCTGCCGGACAGAAAAGAGTGAAAGAGAATATAACCAGGGTGGCAGCGGTCTTTGATTATGTTGGTTGCTTTTGGGAGGCAGTGGGAAGTATAGATGGACTCAATGGATGGAAGACTGCTTTGCATGATGGACTGGGCTGTTTTCACGACTCTCTGTAGTTTCTTGCGGTCTTGGGAAGAGCAAATGCCATACCATGTTGTAATGCATCCAGATAGGATGCTGTCTATGGTGCATCTATAAATGTTGGTAAGAGTCCTTGTGGACATGCCGAGGGTTCTACATCTGAGGAAGTAGAGGTGTGTTATACTTTCTTGACCGTTGCGTCAACATGATTGGGCCAGGACTGATTGTTAGTGATCGTCACTCCCAGGAACTTGATGTTCTTTATCATCTCCACCTCAGCACCATTGTTGCAGGCAGAGGGGTGACCTCTACTCTACTTCCTGAAGTCAATGACCAGCTTATTTGTTTTGCTGATGTTGATGGAGAGATTGTTGTCTTCACAGCATGCTGCTAAGTACTCAATCTCTTTCCTCCAGTCTGTCACATCGTTGTTTGAGATCCAAACTACAACAGTGGTGTTGTCAGCAACCTTTTAAATGGAGTTGGAATGGAACACAGTCGTGAGTGAATAAGGAATATAGTAGGGAGCTGAGTACACAGCCTTTGCAGAGCGCTAGTGTTGAGGATTATGGTGGAGGCGGTGTTGTCACCTATTCTTACTGATTGCTGTCTATGGGTCAGAAAGTCTAGGATCCACTTACAGAAAGGGGAGTCAAGACCTAGGTTCCTGAGTTTTGAGATGAATCGGTTTGGAACTATGCTGTTGAAGGCAGAACTGTAGTCAAAATGTAGGAGCCTAACGTAGGTGTCCTTGTTATCCAGATGTTCCAAGGATGAGTGTAGGCCAGGGAGATGGTGTCTGCCATGGAGTGCTAGAAAAACTAATCGGCCTCAAAGTGGATAAATCACCAGGACCAGATGGAGTGCACCCCAGAGTTCCTAAGGAGATAGCTGAAGAGATAGTGGAGGCATTAATGGTAATCTTTCAGGAGTCGCTAGAGTCAGGGAGGGTCCCAGAGGACAGGTAATTCACTAATGTGATACCCCTGTTTAAGAAAGGAGTAAGGCAAAAGACTGAAAATTCTAGGCTGATTAGCTTAACCTCGGTCGTGGGTAAGATTTTGGAATCCATTCTGAAATATGAAATTTCTGATTATTTGGAAATGCATGATAAACTAGCGCAAAGTTAGCATGACTTCATCAAGGTCATGCCTTACAAACCTGTTAGAATTTTTTGAGGAAGTAATAAGAAGTTTAGACCAAGGCGAGCCAATGGATGTTATCTACCTGGAATTCAAAAAGGTCTTTGACAAGGTGCCTTACAGGAGGCTGCTGAGAAAGATAAGGGTTCATGGTGTTAGAGGCCAGGTTCTAGCATAGATAGAAAATTGGCTGTCTGGCAGAAAGCAGAGAGTGGGGTTAAAAGGATCTTTCTCAGGATGTAGTCAGTGACAGGTGGCGTTCTGCAAGGGTCAGTGTTGGGACCATAGTTTTTCACTTAATACATTAATGACATAGAAGAAGGAACTGAGGGCATACTGGCTAAGTTTGCAGACGATACAAAGATAGGTGGAGGGACAGGTAGTATTGAGGAGGTGGGGAGGATGCAGAAGGATTTGGACAGGTTAGGAGAATGGGCAAAGAAGTGACAGATAGAGTACAACATGGGAAAGTGTGAGGCCATGCACTTTGGAAAGGAGAATAGAAGCATGGGCTATTTTCTAAATTGGGAGAAAATTCAGAAGTCTGAAGTGCAAAGAGACTTGGGAGTTCTAGTCCAGGATTCTCTCAAGGTAAACTTGCAGGTTGAGTCAGTAGTTAGAAGGCAAATGCAACTTCGGCATTTCTTTTGAGAGGACTTGAATATAAAGGCAGACATGTACTTTTGAGGTTCCATAAGGTTCTGGTCAGGCCATTATTGGAGTATTGTGCACAGTTTTGAGCCCCATATCTCAGGAAGGATTACTGGCCCTGGAACAGGTTCAGAGGAGGTTCACGAGAACATCACAGGAATGAAAAGGTTAACATATGAGGAATGTTTGAGGACTCTGAGTCTATACTCAATGGACTTTAGAAGGATGGGGGTGGATCTAATTGAAACTTACAGAATGGCCTGAACAGAGTGGATGTTGGGAAGCTGTTTCCATTTGTAGGAGAGACTAGGACCGGAGGGCACAGACTTGGAGTAAAAGGAAGACATTTTAGATCGGAGATAAGGAGAAACATCTTCATCCAGAGAGTGGTGAATCTATGGAATTCACTGCCACAGAAGGCTGTGTAGGCCAGGTCATTGAGTATATTTGAGACGGAGATAGATAGGTTCTTGATTGTCAAGAAGATTAGGGGTTACAGGGAGAAAGCAGGAGAATGGGGTTGAGAAACTTATCAGCCATGATTGAATGGTGGAGCAGACTCAATGGGCTAAGTGGCCTAAGTTTTGCTCCTATGTCTTATGGTCAGGTGTAGCAGGTGTGAGCCATGTCTCTATAAAACAGAGAAGGTGAGTCTAGCTTTAAATTTATCCATTGGTGTGCTTTCTTGACTGTAGTGTCAACGTGGATGGACCAGGATAGATTGTTGATGATATTTACTCTTAGGAACTTGAAGCTCTTGACCACCATTGATAGAGATAGGAGTGTGCTCTCCACTCCACTTCGTGATGTTGCTGACTAGCTCCTTCATTTTGCTGACTTTGAGGCAGCAATTGTTGTCTTCACACTAAGCTGTCTACCTCTTTCCTGTACTCTGTCTCCTTATTGTTTGAGATCCGGCCCACTACAGTGGTGTCATCAGCAAATTTGGAAATGGAGTTAGAGCTGAATTTGACCAGTTGTGAGTGTATAAGGAGTATAATAAGGGTCTGAGTACATAGCCTTGCAAAGCACCAGTGTTGAAGATTATTGTGGAGGAGGTGTTGTCACCTATCCTTACTGATGGTGATCTGCAGATCAGAAAGTCAAAGATCCAGTTGCACAGGCAGGAGCAAACACCTATGTGTCAAATATCGTGGGAGACCATTCAATGATAAATTAACAAACGTACACCTTCACTTTCCAGTTTTCATGTTTTTGCAGAGTTTAAATTACCACAGTCAAATTTGATTTTTAATCCATGTAACATCATCACTTGCTGGACTCTGGGCGTGTGTAATCTAGTTACAAAGCTCTTACGGTTTTCTCAAGATTCTTTGTGAATATTTTTGGAGGTACCCAAATACCCAATCGTAAAAACACATTTTGAAAGTCAACTGTTTACATCAGAGATAGTAGGAACTGCCAGTGCTGGAGAATCGGAGATAACAAGGCATGGAGCTGGATGAACACAGCAGGCCAAGCAGCATCAGAGGAGCAGGAAAGCTGACATTTCGGGTCTGGACGCTTCTTCGGTAATGGGGGAGGGGAAGGGGACTCTGAAATAAATAGAGAGGGGGAGGCAGATGGAAGGTGGATAAACGAGCAGATAGGTGGAGAGGAGATGGACAGGTCAAGGAGGCGGGGATGGAGCCAGCAAAGGTGAGTGTAGGTGGGGAATTAGGGTGGGGGTTGGTCAGTCAAGGGAAGATGGACAGGCCAAGGAGGCGGGGATGAGCTGGTAAGTAGGAGGTGGGGGTTGGTCAGTGAGGTGAGAGGAGCGGATAGGTGGGAGAAAAGACGGACAGGTCAAGGAGGCGGAGATGAGCTGAGCTGGTTTTGGGATGAGGTCGGGGTTAGGGAGATTTTGAAGCTTGTGAAGTCCACATTGAGACATTGGGCTGCAGGGTTCCCAAGCGAAATATGAGGTGCTGTTCCTGCAACCTTCGGGTGGCATCGTTGTGGCACTGGAGGAAGCCCAGGGTGGACATGTCATGACTGGGAGATGCAGTCGTTTGTCACGAACTGAGCATAGGTGTTCCACAAAGCGGTCTCCAAGCCTCCGCTTGGTTTCCCCGATGTAGAGGAGGCCACATCAGGAACAGCAGATACAGTTTACCACATTAGCAGATGTGCAGGTGAACATCTGTTTAATGTGGAAGGTTTTCTTGGGGCCTGGGATGGGGTGAGGGGGTGAGGGTGTGGGGGGGTGTAGGGGCAGGTGTAGCACTTCCTGCAGTTGCAGGGAAAAGTGCCAGGGGTGGTGGAACTAGTGGGGAGTGTGGAGCAGATAAGGGAGTCACGGAAAGACCGGTCCCTCCGGAAGGCAGATAAGGGTGGGGAGGGAACACCTCCCAGTTGCGAACCACTTCAACTCCCCCTCTCACTCTTTGGAAAACATATCCATCCTGGGCCTCCTCCAGTGCCCCAACGATGCCACCCGAAGGCTGCAGGAACAGCACCTCATATTCCGCTTGGGAACCCTGCAGCCCAATGGTCTCAATGTGGACTTCACAAGCTTCAAAATCTCCCCACCCGCCGACCTCATCCCAAAACCAGCCTAGCTCGTTGTCACCTCCTTGACCTGTCTTTTCTCCCACATATCCGCTCCTCCCACCTCATTGACCAACACCCAAACCCAGCTCCACCTCCACCTCCTACCTACCAGCCCCAACCCTGCCGCCTTAACCTGTCCGTCTTCCCTTGACTGACCAACCTCCCATCCTAACTCTCCACCTACACTCACCTTTACTGGCTCCATCCCCGCCTCCTTGACCTGTCCATCTCCTCTCCACCTATCTGCTCCTTTATCCACCTTCTATCCGCCTCCCTCCCCCCTCTCTCTACTTATTTGAGTGCCCTTCCCCTCCCCCATTATTGAAGAAGGGTCCAGACCCAAAACGTCAGCTTTCCTGCTCCTCTGATGCTGCTTGACAAACTGTTTACATCATATGTTCTAATTTAAACATTCACAAGGAATACAGTTTCTTTCATCATTCATACTTCATTTTACTTTAAAGGTTCAATTTTGAGAGCAAAGGAAAATTTCCTCCAGGAACATAGACAGAGAAAGGGACAGTGGTCTTGAGGGGCAATAACGTAACTACCAAGGCCGCTCACGCCCCGCCCAAGTCACGTCTGCCGTTCAGGCCCCGCCCACGTCCTGCCGCTCACGTGATCACCCATCAGTTATCCCACAAGGAGGCGCGGTGGTCAAGTGACGTGGTAGTACGGGTATCATGGCGGCTGTTTCAGTTTTTTCTCGGCTCCGAACGGGTTCCAAACTAGGACCACAGTACGACCAAGAGGGCAACATTATCGAGGTACGGATTCTCCTTTATAACCTTTAGGGGTAAATTGTCCTCTTCAGCAACAAGGAGGATCTGCAGGATGTGTCTTTTTTTTTTGCTGAAGCTCACTCCAGGTCCGCCTTCTGTTATCTAGGGCTGCGAAAAGTGGAGAATGGAGGTGCAAGTCTGCCCGGAGGCTCAGGCTGCTGCCTTCTCACTGTAGGTAACATGCTGTCTGTTGGCAGCTTTTAGCTGAGTTCACTGCAGCCTGACAGCGGACGTAGCGCTGACTGACATTTAGTCAGCTGTTTATGGGGAGTGTCATTCTGATGGATCGGTCTGCCCAGCCAGTAGCGTTGCTCACGTTAGAGGAGCGGCTTAAATGATTGCGCATTCCCAAGCAAACACAACTGTAGGGGCAAGGTACTGCAAGTAAAAATACGAAAAAAATGATTGCAATCTATGTACAAAAAAACCCCATAAAAACAAAGCACAGTGGAAACTGGAGATCTGGCATGAAAACAAGATGGCTTGGAAACTCGGCAGGTCTGGCAGCATCTATGGCGACAGAAACAAATTTAATGTTTCGAGCTCATTGTGGCTCTTCTTCGGAACTGACTTCCGAAAATGATGCTAGACCTACTGAGTTTCTCCAGCCCGTAGTTTTATATACAGTCATACAGCACGGAAACAGACCCTTCGATCCAACCAGTCCATGCCAAACATAATTCCAAACAATCAAGTCCCACCTGCCTGCTCCTGGCCCCTATCCCTCCAAACCTTTCCTAATCATGTACTTATACAAATGTCTTTTAAACATTGTAATTGTGCCCACATCCACCACTTCCTCATTGACTAACTTTTTAGCTCTTGTGATTTTTTTTTTCTCTATCAACTACCATTTATCTGCTCACTTTATCCACCCAGGTGGTAGTGTTTGTTAGTTTAGTAGGCACTGTCTACAAGTCCTTGATAAATTTCAGCAATGCATCTTGTAGATGGTACACAGTGCTGCTGAATGATGGAGGGAGTCACTGTTTGTTGATGTGCCAATCAAGAAGGTTGTTTTGTCCTGGATTGTGCCAACTTTCTTGAGTGTTAAACTGTAAGTGGGCGAGTATTCCATCGCACGCCTGATTTATGCCTTGCTGACAGGCTTTGGTGAAGTAGTCGCTGCAAGTTTCCTAGTTTCTGATATCTTTGAACCATAGTACTTATATCACCTAGTCCAGTTCAGTTTCTGGTGAATAGTAATTGCTAGCATGTTGGTAGTGTGGGATTTAGTAATGGTGATACCATTGATTTTTATTGTCACAGGTATTTTACAGTGAGAAAAACTGTTGCTAAGATCTGGTGCCATTTTGAGTAGTTTTGAGTAAGGAAAAATAGTTATAGCTTAAAGACAATCCATTAGTTCTGAGCCAGGTCATCATCATCAATGCCTGCTCCACCGCCTCACCACTATATACACCAGACCCAAACAGCATTGAAGTCACCACTCTTCAGGTGCTACCTCTTGCTGTTGTGCTGATTCTCTTGTGCCACCCTCTCAGCGCCACCTGTGCCAGGCCAACCAACTTCAGAGTTGCATCTCTCGACACTGGGCCCACCTAGTTGCTGTTGCAGTGATGCCCTTTTGCCACAGCCAGCGTCAGGACCAACCAAAAGCAAAGTCGCTGAACCTACCACACCAACGTCATCCCTGCTGATGTAGCAGTCACCGATTCTGATGCCAGGTCCCGGGCTCGCCTGAGACCACGCTGTGGTTCCTTGCTGCCACCAATGCTGCCTGAGCTTAGAACAGAAGTTAAGTAAAAAGAAAGAAAAGCAGTCGGAGTGGACAAGCTCTAACTCGAGCCCAAACCTTCTACCATCTTGATATTAAGGTATGATGGTTGTTGGAAATGGCCATTGTCTTTAACTTGTGTGTCATGAATGTTATTTGTCAGGTGTCAGCCCAAGCTTGAATATTGTCCAAGTGTTGCTGCATTTAGACAGGGACTGCTTCAGTATCTGAGGAGTTGCAAATGGTGCTGAACATTATGCTGTTATCCATGAACAGCTCCACTTCTGGTGGAGGGAAGGTCATGATAAGCGAAAACTAGCCTGCTACTTTCCCTATAGCACTTTGATAATTTTCTAATCAACCTCTTCAGAGATGTTGTTACCCACCTCTGGAGCAGGTAGGATTTGAACCCAGGCTTTCTAACTCGGAGGTAAGGACACTACTACTGTGTCACAAGAGCCTTCCCTCCCTATAGCCATTTGTTTGCTTCATACAAAAACATTCCAGGTGTCACTCCTTTTGAGAAATTTATTCTTGCCGCACTTTGTGGTTAGTAACACTTTAAATTGATTGTCATTTATTATGACTTCACAGACTGTGGAAATATTATACTTTTATATAAACACTACATAACGTTAAGCACATTTTAAATCAACTTGGTTTCTACTCTGATATCTTGAATCTCTTAGTAATGAGAGTTTATCATCATTGGTGTCATGTGCTCTATGTGCTACATCACTTTTTCATGCTGTAGTTGTTGAGTCTCAGATTGTGGTGTCTGCTGCTTTTCAGATGTGCTCCTTCCAGTCCAACTCTGTCTAATGTTGTAACGTGGTGAGAGAAAAGCAGTTAGTATCCACCAGGTATTATTTTCCTGAATGTGGAGGGAACTAGATTTGATGCAACATAGATTTTGCAGATTTACTGCCTGGCTATATTACTACTTTGCTGACATTTTATAAGTATTATACCTCTGTTTGAAAAAGAATGAAATGATAAGTCCTGTGATTGCAGTTGAGTTGGCTTTCACCTCTTGGAAAACTTTTATTTTTGGTTGAGTGAAATTACAATACAGCAAAGTAAGGTAATTTTAAAATATTTAGAAAAGATCCTGTAGGTTTATTCTTGGCAATCATTGCCAAGTTACTGAGATGTGGTCTGGAGTCATTTGAAAGCAATTGTGTATTCTTTAACAAAATTGCTGCTGAGCTTCAAACTTCACTACTTATCACAAAACCGACACATCTCCAAACTATCAGCAATGGAAGTCAAAGCAGCTAATGGAATTAAGATGTAAATCAACAAAGGTACTGCGATCCCATATTTCATCTGTGAAATGAGAAACAAAATTAACTGTTTAAATTTTGAACTTTGATGACACAAAGACTAATCTAATGGCATATGTTTTACGTTCTTTCAATATTTTATTTTTGTATTTCACATGGGGGGGAAAAAGAATGGTGAAAATTACTACAATTTGACCCATTGCTGAGCTAGAAGTTATTAAACAAATAAATCTTTAACATAAAGATCTCAATGCAGTAAGGGCAGAGCTTTGAGATTAGCTAAAGAAACATTTATGTAACCAGATTTGCCTGCCAACACACTCAGTTGAAAATATTAAATGGAACTATTGCAGTAACTAAAAAAAGTATTTATTATTCACTTTGATCATATTTTTACAATTACCTAACTTTTTACAGTATTGAAATACATTGGGAGGTGACTCTGGACAAGTTGCAGTATTCTTTTGTGTGTTGTCTTCAGACAAGTCTACTATGTCATGCGGTCAAGTGCACTTTATATTTTTGTGTTGAAGTGCAAAATACAGAGACATCTCTGGCATTTGTGGCTTCAGCTAGGGAACCAGGCAGATGAATGAGTATGTGATCATTGGACTTTTCAAGGTCATTGGAGTGATTTTCTTCTGTTTTCTTCCCATTGATTTTTGTCCACTTTCCTTATCCAGTTCTCATGCTGCAGGTGATCCAAGTAGTTTTGTTAGCCTTGTGCTGCATGATCATTCGCAGCGAAGGAAATTTCAAGAAGTTACAATCACAACTGTCAGTTTTTCAGTGCCATTCATGTTCGTGTGGACTAGAAAGTACCACATTACTTGCTTCACTCTCATCCTTGCAGTTCATCTTTAAACATTAAAGAGTGATTTGATAAAAGACAGAATAGTCCAGTTTAATCCACATTGAACATCCTGAGTGCATACTTGTTTAGTCATGCATGACAAGGCCATTTCTGTCATCGCTGCACTGTCACCTGAGATTTCAAGCTGTAGTATGGCCTAACTCTGCCATTGTCCTTTTTAGTTTGGTGTTGTCATGCGATAGAAATGCATGAATTCGGCTGATCTGAAGTTATTGGTCTGAAACTTCAGCTAATCACTGGTTGTTGGATTTCCTGTTCTACTGGCAGGGATGGTTGACCGATTAACCAAATTTGACTAATCGTGATTTTACTAGATGTCTTGTATGTCTCAGCTAGTTTGGTCAGTAGCATTGCTATTGAACCACTCCTGTTAATGAACATTGAAGTCTCCACTAGGGTACATTCTGTGTCTTTGCCACTCTCGGCATTTATTCCAGTTAGTGTTGCGCATAGATTTCTGATTTATTGGCTGAGGGAAGTATAAGTGGTAAACCCTTCCAAACCTCAGCATGCTGATTTGGAAATATATCACCATTCCTTCAGTGTCACTGGGTTTAAAATCCTGAAACTCTCCCTACACAAAATGCACTACAGTGGTTCAAGAAGGCAGCTCACCTTCTCAAGGGCAACTAGTGATGGGTAGTAAATGCTGGCCTAGCCAGCAATGCCCACTTCCCATGAATGAATAAATAAAACAAAACAAAAATATTCCAGTCTCCTTCAGTTCTAAAAAGAGTTGGATTGGCCTCGTTGGTCAATCTTTCTCCCTCCACAGCTGCTGCCAAGCCTGCTGAGTTTCTTCAGCAATTAGTTTTTCTCCCAGATGTGTTAGTTTGGGTCTCTGCTTTAAAGCTGCCATACTCCGAGAGGACCATAGGCTGCGCTTTCATTAGAGAGAGCAGACTGGTGGGTTTAACCTGAGGGTGATTACCCCTCCGGCATTCAGGAAACCAGGACAGTAACTAATAGTCTGTTGACAACACTGGAGTTTTAACATAAGACAATGGAGTGCAATTTTTTGTAGTAGTAATTCTGATTTTTTTCTGTTTACAGGTTGAAACTCGCGAAGATGAGGAACAAAGTATCAAATTAACAGAAATTTTAGAATTGCTGGTTGCTGCTGGATACTTCAGGGCTAGAATTAAAGGATTGTCGCCATTTGACAAGGTGAGAACTATAAATTCAATTCTCTTTTACTAACCTACCAAATTAATAACTTCACTATTGTAAATATGTTGTCATTGCTCTATAATTTATAGCCAGAAGTACAACAATGTGTTGAAATTGATGTAATAGTTAAATGTGACTTTTTTTGCCAGATAGTGACATCATAACGATCCATCATAACTCATAGTTAAAGGTCGTAATGTAATATGACTGCTCGTATTGGAGAAAAATTGCTCCCAGCATAAAAGAAAAATAATAGAAGATTGAGTACCTATGCTCAAATTTTTATTGAAAATTGCTGTTTAACTTTAACTTTATGGATTTTTGTATGATGGGAGGAAATATAAAATGAAACACGATCTTTGCTTCACATGGATTTTGTTCCATATCAAATAATTTTGCTCATTATGTCTGTGTAGAAAGCTATTTGTCGTTCACTTTAGAACTTTGGGGAAAAATAGGACCTACTTTTTCTTCACAGGTTGTAGGTGGGATGACATGGTGTATTACAACCTGCAGCTTTGACATTGATGTTGATTTGCTTTTTCAAGAAAATTCTACAATTGGCCAGAAAATGTAAGTTGCTTGAAATATTTTGATTAATCTTCACAGTTGAATGAAATATAATATCTGAAGTTTAAACTATGACTAAAAATCACTTGCCTTATTATGAGACCTTTAAAGTTTTATAAAATGTCTTCGTTCTTTGCTCAGTTAAGAATGTATTTTACCTGATATATTTTTAGCAGGACTGGAGAGTTGACAAAAAGCATATTTGTTTCTGGGGCTTTGAGGAAAATTTTACAGATAGAGAAGTGTTAAGTTAAGCAAATCTGCTTGGAAGCTAGGATGTAACAGCTAGTGAGAAATGCTGGAACAGGACTGGTCACCATTAGAGGGCTTGTGGATGTAAAATAGTGTTCAGGTAACATCACACTTTTGAATGCATGAGATTTCAACAAGTGAAGTAATTCCTTTGTATAGCTTAGTTTAAAATCACAATTGCCTTACTTTATAGATAGTATTCTGTAGGTTTCTTTTGCTCCAGTTATCTGGTAATCACCTTGTAATATCACTGGAAGATTATTTTTACATTTTGTTTTTACACAGAGCATTGACAGAAAAGATTGTGTCTGTTTTGCCAACTATGAAGTGTCCTCATTGCTTAGAACCACATCAGATCCAAGGTCTGGATTTCATACACATATTCCCCGTTGTACAGGTACCGTTGTACTTTGTTTTGAGCAATTGTCAATATTAATAAAAAAAGAATTTTTGTAATTTAAACAACTTAATTGTTTGAATATTGCAGCATTCTTGTAATGAGCACAATGCTTCAGAAAACATGAATTGCTTGTGTCTCTTATTGTTTGACATCACGAAACTATTACTAGTGTTCCCTCCAAAAGTGTACTTCATTCACTTAAAAGTTAAGAGCCATTTTTCGCAGAAATTTCAAGTGGCTCCATAATTGACTCATGTCTGACATGCATCTGATGGTATAAAATTGTGATTAACTGCAGTGCTACTTTAAATTAAAAGCACTTATGTACTAAAAGCTATCAATCTGTAAGTTGATTTTAAATCACTCATTTTTGCTTCAGTTTGTATCATTGGCCATGTTGCTTTGAGCCGTTAATGTACCTTCGAAGAAGTTTTAGAAAAGTTTAGAAACTTTGAACGTTAATCCCAGGTCAAAAGGAAATTCCTAACTTGATTTTGAACAGTTTTATTTGGCTCCAATTTAAGGGTTTTATTGTACAATGCCTTCACTTGCTTTGAGTATTTTCTCACCTGAGAATCCTTTTAAAGGTCCATAACCTTAGTGCATTTGTCCTGCAGGATTTCACATACTATCAGCAGCAAGATATCGTTATTTTCAGGTTTTTAAATGAGCAGCAGTTTTTTGACTATTTTTGTTTCCCTCTGTCCAAATCTACCACTTTGTTAGAACAGCTATTTTGAAGACAGACTTCCAATATCTGAAACCTTTGGGTTAGCTGTTGTAAACTTTATTATTGTATTTGTGATCTTGGATAAATTTTTAAGGTAACTGAGAAATAGCATGCTAGTTTTGCTGAATAACACTTCAAATCCATAATTTTCACTTTCAAGTGGCTGGTAAAACGTGCAATTGAGACCAGGGAAGAGATGGGAGATTACATCCGATCTTTTTCAGTTTCCCAATTTCAGAAAACCCACAGTCTACTTGAGGTAAGTTTCCCATTATGTTTAAATTTATTATTATAGTGTAACAAGTCGTGTTGCGGCTTTACAGGGCATTGGTTAGGCCACTTTTGGAATACTGCTTGCAATTCTGGTCTCCCTGCTAAAGGAAGGATGTTGTGAAACTTGAAAGGGTTACATGTTTGGAGGGTTTGAATGATAGGGAGAGGCTGAGTAGACTGGTGTATTTTCCCTGGAGCGTCAGAGACTGAGGGGTGACCTTATGGAGATTTATAAAATCATGAGGGGCATAGATAGGCTAAATAGACAAGGTCTTTTCCAGTGTGAGGGAGTTCAAAACTAGAGGGCATAGGTTAAAGGTGAGAGGAGAATGATATAAAAGGGACCTACGGGACGACTTTTTCGGGCAGAAGGTGGTGCGAGTGTAGAATGAGCTGCCAGAGGAAATGTTGGGGGCTGATACAATTACAGCATTTAAAAGGCATCTGGATGGGTATATGAATAGGACGGGTTTAGAGGGATATGGACCAAATGCTGGCAAATGGGACTAGATTTGTTTAGGATATCTGGTCAGCATGGATGAGTTGGACTGAAGGATCTGTTTCTGTGCTGTACATTTCTATGACTCTAAATATGAAAACACATGGACATATGTAAATTTTCCAATTTGTTTTTGTTCTTTTTAACCTTATGTTCTAATGCTTGATTAAGAAATTGAAATCAAAAGTAGACATAACATGAGTGCTGAAAATCGTTAATAAAATGAGAGAGAATCTGGCAACTATACTTCAGAATCTGTATGTAATAAGAATGTGAACCTTTGAACAGTTATTTCAGTCAGTTCTCTAAAGATCACCTAACCTGACCATGCAGTTCTGGTGGAGGACTTCCATCCAAAATGCAAAATTTCTCTTAAAATATAAAACTGTATCCTTCAGGATGTTTGCTAGTAAATCAGCTTGGATCAAATTCTCTTTAAACTGCCCTCTTAAAATGATATGCACTGGAAAACTGTAAAGACTAATTTTCCTTTAAGAGATTGACATCTGCTTAACTGAAAGAATGAGAACGAATTTTCACATTTTAAAACCTGTATTACACGAAATGACAAAATGCCTTTGAGTAAACTGTTTTCTTTTTGTGAGCAGCTTGTGCTTTGAACTACAGAGAGGAACGTTCCTCTTTATGCTGATTGCACATTACGTTTTTCTCAGAACTAAGTCCTTGCAGTGGATATTCCATAGTCGCTGTCAGATTCCAGTGAGGTCCCATGCCCCTGTGTTTTGCCAGGTAGTAACTTTGAATGTACGTTAAGTACGTTCCATACTTTTCAGAGTTTCTTAAATTCACCACCATGATATATACACACCGGTGACTTATGCCAGCATAAGTCTCTTGAACCATTGGACGCAGTCTGAATCCCTTTGCCTAGAGACTGCCTCCCTCTTGCAACCAGCTCACAAAGTCAAAACAACCTCCTCTTTCTGCTGAAAGCATAGAACTGCTGACTCTGTGCTCATCATTTAGTTGTAGGAAGCTTGTAAGCTGATTTCAGAAATGGATTCCAAATAAACAAAGGGAGTAAAATATTCTTCGTCATCAAAATACTCACTTTTGAATTGCTTCTACCATTAGAAATAACCGGTGAAACCTTTTTCAAGGTGAAGGTCGAAAGTTCTGTATTATACTCCATAAAGTAAAAGTTTTTGAATTTTTATCTGTAATAGGATGATGACTTCAAGCAACGCAAAGACAAGGCTATGAAAACAGTCGCAGAAATTTCTGTGAGTAGAAATTCCTTTTTTAAAAAAAAAAAATTCTGTCATTCCCAATTCCAGTACTGAGAAATGTATTGTACAAATTAATGTATTACTGTTAACATACCTTTCTTATTTGACTTTGAAAATTGATTTATTTTCAAATTATACTTGATTTATCTTCACTCACATCTATATTTTGTGCAGCTGTTTATGTGTAATTTATCTTGCATTGCACTTGTATCTTTAAAGGGATTGGTCAATCACCCACTGAATCATGACCAGTGCATTATTCTAAACGGGCAAAGTAATTTCTTCTAAAGTTGCGAGGGAAGAAGAGTGGCTACCTCATTGGGGAAGTGGGTTGGGGTGTTTTTTTTCAAATAACCCAGAAGAAACAATCGCAGGTATTCAAGTAGTGTAAGATAATTAAATTGAATAAAGAGGCATGTAGATGGGCATAAGAACAGAAATTGCTGGATAAACACAGCAGGTCTGGTAGCATCTGTGGAGAGAAAGCAGAGTTAACGGTTTTGAAGAAGGATCACTGGACTCAAAACATTAATTTTGGTTTCTCTCCAGATGCTGCCAGATCTGTTTGTCCAACAATTTGTTTTTGTTTCTGATTTCCAGCATCTAGTTTTCAGTTTCATGTAGATGGGCCTTTGGGAAGGTAATGGAAGAGAAGTGATTGGCAAGAAGAGGAGTGAAGGAGCAGAGATGCAGATTGAAATAGGAAATCGGAGATTTTGATCCTAATAAAGTTCTGTTTCTGGAAAACCCTAGCTATTGGGTAAAGTAATTGCACTGATACTTGAGTAATGTAAATGTGGTTTGACAAATAAATTTTAATGATATATCTGCCTGCTTTAAAGCAAGAATTAGTTTAATTTGCTGCTACAGTATATCCCTGTTAGGGTCAAGGGAAAAGCTGGTAGGTTTAGGGATCCCTGGCTGACAAGGGATGTTGAGGCTCTGGTCAGGGAAAAGAAGAAGGAATACATTAGGTTTAAGCTATCGGGCTGAAGTGAATCCTTAGATGACTATAAAAAGTGTAGAAGCACACTCAAAAGGGAAATCAGAAGAGCAGAAACAGGGTGTGAGATGGATCTGGCAGATAAAGTTAAAGATAATCCCAAGAGGTTCTATAGCTATATTAAAAGAAAGAGGGTGGCTAGGGAGAGAATAGGTCCCCTTAAAAATCAGCATGGCCGTCTATGTGTAGAATCGCAGGAGATGGGGGAGATATTTAATGGATATTTCTCCTCTGTATTTACCGAGGACAGAATCATAGATACTAAGGAAATAAGGGAAAAAGTGGGGATGTTTTGGACTGCGTACATATTACTGGAGCAGAGATTTTTGCAGCCTTAAACTATACTTAAGGTGGATAAATCCCATGGGCCTGATCAAGTCCATCCTCTGATGTTGTGGGAGGCCAGGGAAGAAGTTGTAGAGGCCCTTGAAGAAATTTTTGCTTCATCTTTAGCCACTGATTAAGTTCCGGAAGAGTGGAAGATGGCTAATGTTGTTCCATTGTTAAAGAAAGGTAGCAAAGACAAGCCAGAAACTAAAGGCCTGACATCAGTGGTAGGCAGGTTATTGGAGAGGATATTGAGGGACAGGATCAGTCAACATTTGGATTGCCAGCATGGATTTGTGCACAGGAAGTCATGTCTAACAAATCTTTCAGAGTTTTTCGAAGAGCTAACCAAGAGGATAGATGTGGGTAGGTCAGTTGTCTATATGAACTTTAGTAAGGCCTTTGACAAGGTCCTACACAGCTGGCTAGTAATGAAGATTAGGTCGCATGGGATCCAGAGAGAGATGGCCAATTGGATTCAAAATTGGCTCGATGGTTTGAAGCAGAGGATGATGGTTGGAGGCCTGTGACTAGTGGTGTGCCACGGGTTGGTGCTGGGACCTTTGTTATTTGTTATTCACAAATGATCTGAATGTGAATGTACAAGACATGATTAGTGAGTTTGGGAATGACAGGAGGTATTGTTGATAGCGAGGAAGGTTATCAAAAATTATAGAGGGATCTTGATTCGATGGGAAAGTGGGCTCGGGATTGGCAAATGCAATTCAGTACAGATAAGTGTGAGGTGTTGCATTTTGGAAAGTCAAACCAAGGTAGGACTTGTAGAGTAAATGGTAAGGTCCTAAGAAGGGTTGTAGAACAGAGGGACCTAGGAGTACAAGTACATATTTCATTGAAAGTGGCATCACTGGTAGATAGGGTAGTGAAGAAGGCATTTAGCATGCTGGCCTTCATCGGTCGAGGCGTTGAGTATAGGAGTTGGGACGTTATGTTACAGTTATATAAGTCGTTGGTGAGGTTGCAGTTTGGAATATTGTGTATAGTTTTGGTCCCCCTGTTATAGGAGATACATAGTTAAACTGGATAGTGTGCAAAGAAGATTTATGAGGATGTTGCCAGGGCTAATAGGTCTGAGTTTCAGGGAGAAGTTGGCCAGGATAGGACTTTATTCCTTGGACCATAGGAGAATGAGTTGTGACCTTTATTGAGGTGTATAAAATCATAATGGGCATAGATAGGATGAATGCATATAATCTTTTTCCCAGAAATGGGGAATTGAAAACTAGAGGGCGCAGGTTTAAGGCGAGAGGGGAAAGATTTAAGAAGGACCTGAGGGGCAACTTCTTCATGCAGAGAGTGGTGTGTATATGGAATGGGCTGCCAGAGAAAATGGCAACAGTCGCAATATTTTAAAAACATTTGGATAGGAACATGGATGGGAAGGGCTTAGAAGGATACTGACAAAAAGCAGGCAATTGGAACTAGCTGAGTGGGCACCATGGTCAGCATGGACCAGTTTGGGCCGAAAGGCCTGTTTCCATGTTCTGCCTCTATAAGCTGTATACGAGATGATCTATTGTATGGTTTGCATTGTAAAAGAACATTTCCTCTGAATGAATAATTGAAGACTTTACTAAATTTAATCTCCAAAGGAAAGTTGTGAACTTTTTCCTCTGCTTCTTAAAGCAAATCTTCACAACGCTAGTAAAACCAAAAACTCACTTAATTTATTCAACCTAATGGAGCATGCTATTTTTGCATGTTGCACTTTCAGTTTGTTCTTATCTAGTTTCATCTAGCTGTCTTTCATCAACATGGAAACTGTCGCAAGAGCCTTCAGTGCGGTGAAGGGCAGTATCTTTTTACAGCTCCGCCCAAGCATTGCTTATAGATTAAATTGTCAAAGAACATTGGTTTAAAAGTGAAAATATAGTGCTAAAAATATGTATGCATTAATTTTCCTCGTTATAAGATATACTGCTGTATCCATTACAAATAGATTTTTTTCATGTTTGATGTTTTGGAATAGATTTTTAGATTTTGCTTTCTCTTGTATTTCTAATTGTTAATGTAATGTTTTTGGATCCGACCACAAGATATAGAAGCAGAATTAGGCAATTCAGCCCATTGGGTCTGCTTTGCTATTTGATCATGGCTGATGTGTTACTCAACCACATTTTCCTGCCTTCTCCCTGCAACTTTTGATCCCTTACTGATGTTGAAGCTATCTATCTCTGTCTTAAATACAGTTACTGACTTGGCCTCCACAGCCTTCTGTGGCAATGAGTTTCACAGATTCACCATTCTCTAAAGTCATTCCTTATCTCCGTTCTAAAGAGTCATTCCTTCACTTTGAGGTTGTGCCCACAGATCATAGTCTCACCTATCAGTGGAAATATCTTCTCCATGTCAACTCTATCCAGGCCTCTCAGTACTCTGAGTTTCAGGTAAATCCCTCTCCTCATCCTTCTAAACTTCAAGTACAGACCCAGGGTCTTCCACCACTTCTCATATGACAAACCCTTCGTCCCTGGGATTATTTTTGTTAACCTCCTCCAAGGCCAGCAAATCCCGGCCCAAAACCGCGCACAATATTCCAAATACGGTCTCACCAGAGCCTTGTACATTTTCAGCAATACATCTCTGCTCTTGTATTCTAGCTCTCATGAAATGAATGCTTACATTGCAGTTGTATTCCTAATTGCCAACCGAACTGCATGTTAACCTTGAGAGAATCCTGAACTAGGATTCCCAAATTCTTTTGTGCTTCAGGTTTCCAAAGCCTTTTCCCATTTTGAACATAGTCTATGCACTTTATGACATCTGCAAACTTAGCAACAGTGCTGTCAGTTCTTTCAACCAGATATTCGTGTTCCCCATTAACTAGCTGTTTTCCCTATGCTGACCGCTGTGGAACTTCACCAGTCACTGGCTGCCATTCTGAAAAAGACCCTTTTATGCCTTCTTCCAGGCAGCCAATCCTTTAACTATGCCATTACCTTGCTCCTAATACCATGGGCTGTTATTGTATTTAGCAAACTCCAGTGGAGCACCTCATCAAAGGCCTTTGGATATGTTCCAAATAGATTACGCCCACTGGCTATCCTTTGTCTAATTTGCTTGTTACCACTCAAAGAATTCTAACAAGCTTGTCATACATGACCTCCTTGATGAAGCCAAGCTGGTTTAGCCCATTTTTTAATCATGCACTTCCAAGTACTCTGCAGTCCAATCCTTCATAATGGATTCTCAAATCTTACCAACATGTTATCAAGTCATGCTAACTAGCCCATAATTTCTTGCCTTCTGCATCCTTCCCTGCTTAAACATGAGTGTTTCATTATCCATTTTCTAGTCCTCTGGGACACTGGCTCCAGTAATTCCTGCAAGACCATCACCAATGCCTCCACAGTCTCCTCAGCTATCTCCTTTAGAGCTCTGGGATTAAGTCATCTGAAAATTTTTAGTTGAGTAAATCAATGACTGTCTCAATCACTTGAAATCAAGTAAGTAACATAGGAAACTAATGCAATTAATCTTTCCATTTTGGCTTTGCATGTATTTTAACTCATTCTACCTTTTCACAGTCTCTTGATTGACAGTATTTGTACAACATTTGCCACTGCTTAAGCAGACATTTCTTCCAACTATTGGGAGAGACAAGGCCATAATCTTTAGGCCCTGTTACAAACTCTTATATTCTAGCCACTCAATTCCATCTGTCTCTCTGGCAAATGTTTTGAGGCTGAACCAGATTGTCCTCGTCCTTGGTGTTGCATCTAACTCCAAAATAAGTCTCTGACCATATATCCATGCTTAAGATCACCTTCTTCCACTGACATATCTCCCGACATCATCCTTGTCTCGGCTTATCCAAATCATTTTGGTTGCTTCGGATATTGAGTGTTCCAATACCCCTCATCCTCCACCCAACATAAATTTAAACTCACTCCATTACCTTTATCTTAACCTGCATCATGTTCCTTTTGACTGTCATTTTAAAATTTGTGTTCTTGAGAGCCAACTTCCTTTGACCAAACTTTTGATCATCTACTGTGTTGAAATTTGTTGGATAAAGCTTCTGTGAAATTACTTTTGAAGCTTTACTGCACTGGAAGCTTGGCTGTTTGTTTGAATGTTAACGAAAACACTGAATTATTTTCTTTCAAAGGACGTTTATAAACCACAACGCAAGTACAAACGGTTAGTTGCAGCAGAAGAATTGGTGGATGAAGAATCCAGAGTCCATTCTACCCTCTTGGAATTTGGCCGGTGAGATTTGCAGAATAAAACTTCTCTTAATTTTAATTGTTTAATGGCAGAATATCTGTTTTTGGAGTGTTGATCTTCATGCAGTCAGGTATACAGTTATTTGCTGTTCTGAATGCAGAACAGCTTCAACCTATAGGTTATCCAAATTGAGGGCAAGTGATGATTACCAATGTGGCAATTTCCTTCAGCCTTTTTTAAAATTCTGAATGGTGCAATCAAGCTGAATACATTGTAATAACAATTTTACAAATGGACAAATTATATTTATTACAATTTCCAATTATTTATTGCATTTATTTGCTATTACATCCATCACAGCTTTCTCCAATCTTAAGTCTGCATTTCATTGACATGAATTGAACAACTTGATGGTAAACATACCTGAGCTGGAACCAAGGGTTAAAGGTGGCCATTTGGTGGCAATACGTTGTTATTACTTCCAGGAATTTCGTATGAATAAAATTAAATTAAAATCATTTTGATATAATTATGCAAATATCTAATGGTTCCACTTGTGAACTTGAGTGCTTACGGTTATTTTACGACAGTTCTTATTTTTCTTCACGTGGTTTGCTATTTGTGACAATTGGAACCTCTAGATGCTGATTGTGGATCAGTAATATATATTCTGTGATTCTTGGTCTGTTGTGGATTTTCTTATACTGCATTTCACTTCCTAGTTTTATTTCCCCACTGTTTACTACTACTTAGATCTATACTGGAACATTAATATGATTTCATGGATACACAGGTCCGAATGAATTCTTTCACAAAGAGTAATTTAGGACAGCTAGTCAATTCGCTTCATTGAGTGCAAAACCATGAGCTGCAGTGGAGAGCATTGCGGATAGTTGAACATCAACAGCAGTGACATAGTGGTTACTGAATTAATAATACAATCCTGGTCGGATTTCTAAGAACATAGAACATAGAACATTACAGCGCAGTACAGGCCCTTCGGCCCTCGATGTTGCGCCGACCTGTGAAACCAATCTGAAGCCCATCTAACCTAAACTATTCCATTACCATCCATATGTTTATCCAATGACCATTTAAATGCCCTTAAAGTGGGCGAGTCTACTATTTTTGCAGGCAGGGCATTCCACGCCCTTACTACTCTCTGAGTAAAGAACCTACCGCTGACATCTGTCCTATATTTATCACCCCTCAATTTAAAGCTATGTCCCCTCATGCTAGCCATCACCATCACTGTCCACCCTATCTAATCCTCTGAAGTAGCTTTCACGTTGTATCACAGCTAGGAAATTCAGTTATTTAAATGTAAACTAGAAAGACGTCATAAATGATGGAGACCATGTTACTATCGAATTCTCGGAAAACCCACTTGGTTTTCTTTTTAGGGAAAGAAATCTCCTGTCTTTACCCAGTTCTGCCTACATATACTGCCATGCCTTTAGTGATGTGATTGATTCTTAACTACCTTCTGAAATGCCCCAGCAAACGACAGAGTTGTCAAGAAGGTGGCTAACCAGTTTTCTCAAACAATTAGAAATAGATATTAAATGTTGAAATTGTTAGGAACCACCCACATCCTATGATAAACATAACCAGGATAAATCATTTGAAAAATTTTAATTTTCAGGACCCTTCAAAGATGAAGTCCATGGAAAAATGTTCTGAAGCCCTTTGTGTCCACATCCAACTGTATTCTTGTCTTGGATTTTTTTCCCCCTAAGGCAGGGTCTGTCAAATAGCTAATCAAGCCAGATTAGAAGGCAGTTTGACCCTAATTGTACACAGCAATGAAATCTTAGAGAAGGCACACAGGCTGTCATGCTGTCAGCAAACTGGCAGGGCATTGGAGGCAGCCTTGCACTAGGGAGTTGGACCTTAGCGATTGCTGTGTGTGCATCCGTCACAGAGACCCATCATTGAAGCTGTGGCTGAAAGTTTTCTTGTGAAGGAGCTCCTCCACACTGGTCCTAACCGATCTGGATCTTCACTTTTAATAAACCCACAAGCTCTTCAGTTTGAGATCTTTTGTGTTCGCTCTTTCAGTATTGGCCTCCTACTAAAAGGGTTACCAGTCTTGCAGGTTTTCCAATGGGCTTTCCACTTGCAGGTGGCCCATTGTCCTTAACTGGACAGCGAACATAGAGGTGGCTGTTTAATTTACTGCCATCCACAAGGCAATAAAGCTAAAAGTGGCAATGTAGTCAAATGTCAAGGATGCCTGGATAATAAATCTGAGGTGTGCAAAGCGACTCTGATTAAATTTGGCTAATACAAAATAACAGCCTTTGAAGTGTGCTTCAGACCACCAGGGCAGCATAAATAATAGATTTTGTGTGTACAGGGTGCGTGTATACATACCTTTCCCATATCTACTGTTTCTGGTCTGTGCTAACTTTGAGTAAATTTGTTTATTTGTTATATAGTCCAAACCCATTACAAATTAGATTGAATAAGCAGGCGCATTTACTTCAGATCTTGCAGGTGGAAATCTTTTTTTTTTTTTGTCCCATTTATTCCAAGTTGTGCTTATGTACACATCACAGCAATGAAAACTTTTTGTAGTCGTTTATTATGCATGTAATGGCAACATTTTTGCCTAATGGTCTCAGCTTTGATTAGTAGCTGCAATTAAGAATAGATCATTTTGACTTTGTGTGGTAATGACTAAAATTTGCAAAGAGAAGTTAATGTTTCAGCTATAGGTTCTTATAATTCTTGCAGGCACATGATGCAGCAATCTGAACAATATACTTTGTAAATTCATTTAGAATTTTTCAATAAAATGCAAAAGGTGCTCGCCATAAAGTATCCATACAGTATTTGACTTTAATTTAAAACTTGGACAAAGCTGAGGTGTCTGAATTTAGCCGTCTAAATACTTGCAACTCTAATGAAATTGAGGTGCATGTGAACTGAAAATGTTTTCTAAATTGTATTTTATGCATTCTTTTATGAAGAGTTTAAAAACTAACCTCACTGGGCAAGTGCAGCTTAGTTCGCAGTATCTGAACAAATCCTATAAGCTGGTTGGAAATACGTTGTTTGAAAGACATTGGTCTCAACTTCACAACTTTATTTTTCAAACTCATTAAATAGTACATAAAAAGTATATTCAAATAAACTTGATGTGGTTACTACTACACTGTTACCTGTCTCTTGGTTAGTGGAAATGTCAGGGAGCTGACCAACTTAACATAGTGATTTTTTTTTCTTAGTGCAAGATGTGACGGCATTCCCACTTGTCAAAAATGACTTCCTGGGTAACTGTGGAAAGAAATGTAATCCCTTAACCTCACCTAAACTTGTCACTAATTTGTAATGTCACAGTTTGAAAGTGTCCAACCTGTATAAATTGTCAAAGCTAAAGCACAGTTCACAGTATTAGATTGATATCATTTATTTTAAACTGTAGCTTGTTATCTTCACGTTTAGGTATTTTCTTTCCTTGGTACTATTTTTATTTGTATTTCAGAACTACTGATTTTTAACTATCAAATCGTTCAATTCCTTACAATTTTTCTTCCTGCTTTATGTTAAAATTCTTATTCTTTACTTACTCCTTTTGTTGTTTTCTTAATTCTTCATTTTCTTTAGCTTTCCTGATTCCCTCATGTGAGTATTTAGCTTTAATTTTCTTTTCCAAGTTATCTCTACCACAAATTAGTACATTTTTAAAACTTTACACTTCATTATTGATACTAGAATTTGGCAACAGTTTCTTGATTAAAGCTGAACCTGTAACAACTAACGTTTTTATGTTGCACCTTTTAAATTGGAAAATGTCCTGAGGTCCTCACAGGATTATCATCCAAAAATGGACATGAATTGAAGGCACTGAGGACCAGTAGCTAAAATTTAGTCAAATTGGATTTTAAGAAGTATCTTAAAAGAAAGAGAGGAAGTTTTGATTTAGGTGCTCGATGCAAATGATGTGGCTGCCAATAGTGGTATAAGATATTAAAGCTTGCTGTTCAAAGAAGACAGTTCCTGCAGGGTTTTAGGGATGAGTGATTTTAGAGGATTGAGGGAAGCTAGAACCATGAATGATTGATCATGGGAATTTTTAAACTTTAGACATTCATGGATGAGGGACTAAAATGAGTCAGGTATTAGATTGATGAATTAGCAGCACATGGTTGGGTTAGGATACTATCGGGAGAGTTTTGGATGAGCTCGTACTTTAGGAAAGTGGATGATGAGTGTGACTGGGAGCAGATTTGAATATCAAATCTGAAGGCAAGGAAAAAAAGTATGTGCAAAGGCTGTTATGAAGATTGATACCACCAGAGGTTGATGTAAGGAGATTTTAAAATTAACCAGGTATTTGGCTTGATTGGCATTTTGGTGGATTCAGAACCAAGCCGATGTTGTAACAATCTAGTTCATCTCAGACAGTAGCTGAATTATTTGGATGAAATTATGTCTCATCTGTGAAAATTTCTAAAATAGACTTGATGACAAATGTTGCAGGGCCTGAGATGGGTAGTAGTGAGTTAGCTGTTGTCGATTCTGAATCCATATGAATGACAACTACTAAATGAGAAGTAGGAAGGATTAAGAATAGATTTTGAATCCAAGGGTAGCAGCCTCTAGAAAATCCATTTTAGGAGATTTCCTGGTTGCTATGAGGTAGTTGAATGGAACCAGTCAAAGAAGTCCAATTTAATTGTACAGAAGAGGGACATAAGACTACTTTATAAGAGCCCATGGTGTTGGGGGTAGTATACTAACATGGTTAGAAGATTGGCTAACTAAAAGAAGATACAGTGAAAATCTGCGGTGGGCACTTTCAGGATGGCAACTTGTAACTTATGGAGTGCCACAGGGACCAGCTGGTAAGTGATATAAGGGATATAATTGAGTGGCCAAAATCTTGGCGGATGGAATATAAGTTGGAAAAATGAGATTATGCTCCCTTGCAGGTAGAATTGAGGAGATGAATGTTTAAATGGGGAGAGAGAGACTTCAGAAAGCTGCACCACACGATTGGGGCTCCTTGTGCATAAATCACAAAAATCTAGTACATAATTTCAGCAGGTAAAAGGGAAGGCAAATGAAAATGTTGTCCTTTATTTCCAAAGGAGTGGAGTGTAAAAGTCTTTCTAAAACAATACAAGACACTGGTTAGACCACAGAGAATATTGTGAGCAGTTTTGGTCATCTAATCAAAGGTAAGTGTTACTGGCGTTGAAAACAATCCCCACAAGGAGTACTAGGTTGTTCCTGGGTACAGATTTTCTTGAAGGCAGAGGAGGAATTTCTTTCTCAGGGTAGTGAATCTGTTGCATTCTTTACCAGAGAGCCATAGATACTGGGTTATTAAGTACATTCAAGCTGAGATTCCAGTTTGTCAACTAAGTGAATCAAGAGTTATGGGTAACAGGCTGGAAAAGATGAGTTGAGGATTATCCGATCAGGCATGATCTCATTGAATGGTAAAGCAGACATGGTTTGGATGGCCTTCTGCTCCTACTCCTTGTGGTTGTGTAACATTTGGAGGACAATGGCAAAATCAGTGTCAAGGGTTATTACTTTTTGACTTCTTATCATGATTGTGGCAGGATGAAAACTGTTTCTCATTTAAACTATTAGTGTCTTCTGTTCAATTTGGAAAGAGACTCCGATAATCCACAATTTACAAAGAAAGTCAATATTCTTTACAACAGTGCTGCTGTAGATTTTACTATGTAATCTGGGAGTGTAAGGAATATATTTACTTAGCAGAAATGAAACCTGCCATATTTTGAATAAGAAATTTAAATAAATTTCCAACTCAAACACCCAGTTATAAATTTCTAATCTTAATTTGTCTTTGTGTAATGTGCTAATTTTTGACTGGTACTTGGTATGTCCAACAACTGATCTAAGTTACATTTGACAGTTCTGTGCTGTACTGTACCTGCGGGCATAATGCATTGAAATCTTGCACATGTTCCTAGAGAGGTCTGCTTTATTGGGCAAATGTATTTTTGTATTTCAAATGCGTTAAATGTATCAAAAGTTTTGAAATCACTGAACCACTGAAGTTATTAGAGTCACAGAATCATAGCCTTGTACAGCATGGAAACAGAAACCTTGACTTTAGTGATTATATGATACAATTTTAACTCTTCACTTGCATTGGAGGTTGACTTGGTTCTCTAACTGTGCACGCATTCCATTAGTATGTAATCAAGATTGTTATTGGTTCTGAAAGCAATGATATGGCAAGTGGTTAGTTAGCAGTACAGTATTAAAAAAGTCTATTCTGTTCTTTAACTGCTTAAAATTAGACCTGCTTGGAAGTTTTTTAAAAGTGCGAGAATAACTGAGTGACGCTTGTTACGGCACTTGAATGCTGAATATGATCTATATTAACTAAGTCAGCCATTTTTAGGAATGTTATGATACGCCTCTGGAGCAAGTTTCCTCTCCCAAAGGTAGGGACAGTACCGCTACATTCCAAGAGTCCACTAGAACCCTGTACATAGTATGTGATACAAGTAAATTAATCATATTTTTGAGCATCTGAAGGATATCCATATTTAATGTATTTTTCTCCATTTTTCTATAGTAAGTATGGCTTCAGCAAACAGTCAAAAACTGAAAAGGTAAGAACTAAATATGCATGATATTTAATAAAGTTGTTTAATTTTACATTTAGTTTGACAATGCTTCCTTTCTTTTGCTTTACTCAGCGTAAAAAAAAAAAAAAAAAAAAAAAAAAAAAAAAATCAGTTGATTTGAGCTGCTTTTGGTTAAAATGTTGAGTTTTTTTCAATAAATCCTAGATTCCCCTGTAGGAAGCATTTCAGGTTTTTACCTTTGTTTCTTTCCAATGCCACTGAATTTTGATGTGGACATCAGGGGAGAGCTAGTTTGTGACAATTATTGAGGTTGGTTGGCTCACCGAGCTGGTTTGTTGTTTCGCAGGCGTTTCGTTACTATGCTTGGTAACACCCTCAGTGCAGCCTCCGATGAAGCGTCAGTGTGTTTTCCCGCCTGTTTTTTTAAACTCTGGGGTCCGTTGAGATGGATTGCCTCATTCCGGTTTTCCTTCGTAGTGGAATGTATGTGGCATTGAGTTCAATGTGTTTATTAATAGCATGCTTCGTGGAGTGCCATGCTTCCAGGAATTCTCGTGCTTGTCTCTGCTTAGCCTGTCCCAGGATCTTGGTGTTGTCCCAGTCGAAGTTGTGGTTCTCCTTGTCCCTGTGGATTGAGATGAGTGAGTATTGCTTGTGTCTTTTTGTAGCCAGTTGGTGTTCATGTACTCTTGTTGTTAGTTGCCTTCCTGTTTGTCCGATTGTAGTGTTTATCGTGGTCTCTGCAAAGGATTTTGTAGATGACATTGGTCCTGTCCATGGCGGGGAGTGGGTCTTTAGTTCGGGTGAGCAGTTGTTGTAGGGTTGACGTGGGCTAGTGTGCTCCTCTGCCCAGCGGTCGTAGGAGTCTTGTGATGAGTTCTGATGTGTTCCCGATGTAGGATAGTGTGATGAGTGTGCCGGAGCGTGTAGAATCTTTCTGATGCTGTGCGTGTAGGCACCTTCTGACTCAGTTCTTTGGATATCCATTATCCTTGAACACTTGGAAGAGGCATTATTCTTCCTCTTGGCGTAGTTCTGTGTTGCTACAGTGTGTTGTTTCCCTTTTAAACAGTGTTCGCACACAGCTTCGTTTGTGTGTGCTGGGATGGTTACTATTGAAGTTCAGTACCTGGTCTGTGTGTGTGGCTTTTCGGTGTACTTTTGTTTGCAGTTCCCCATTTGTCTTGCGCTCTACCATGACGTCCAGGAATGGGAGCTGTTTGTTCTTCTCCTCCCCTCTGAATCTTATTCCGGTGCGGGTGTTATTTATAAGTCTCTGTGTCTCTTCTAATTTGGTCTGTTTAATGATGACAAAGGTGTCGTCTACGCAGCGTATCCACAGTTTAGGTTGGATTTGCAGAAGGGCAGTCCTTTCCAGTCGTTGTATCGCTGCTTCTGCTATGAGTACGGAGATAGGTGATCCCGTGGATGTCCCGTTGATTTGCTCGTATGTTTGGCCGTTGAAGGCGAAGTGGGTGGTCAGGCGTAGGCCCAATAGTTTGAGCATGTTGTCTTTGGAGATGATTTCACTGGGGTCGTGTTCTTGTTCAAGTAATGTTGTCATTGTTTCCCTTGCTAGTGGTATGTCTATTGATGTGAATAGGGCAGTGACATCAAACGATATCATGGTCTCTTTGTCCTCTATCTTTATGCCTTTGATGGAGTTGAGGAATTCTTGGGCTGAGTGGATAGAGTGGGGTGACTTGTTGACTAGGTGCCTGAGTCGTCTTTGTAGTTCTTTGGCTAATCTGTGCAATGGAGTGCCTGGTAGGGAGACTATGGGTCTGAGGGGGACTTCTGACTTGTGCACTTTAGGGAGGCTGTAGAATCGGGGTGTGTTGGTTCCTTCGGGTTTCATTCTTAAGTCTGTTTTATTGTTCTAGCCTGTTTATTTAAGTCTTTTGTAGCGTGTAGAGGATTTTGTTGCCTAGTTACGGTGTCGGGTCAGTTTGTACTGGCCGGTATGTGTTCTCGTCGGCGATCAGTGCTTGTGCCTTGGAGATGTAGTCCCTTTTATTCATTGTCGCTGTCATGCGCCATTTGTCTGCAGGTAGTATTGTGATGTTCTTGTCCTTCTTTAATCCGTCCAGGGCGTGTCTTTCCCGTGTGTTGAGTTCACTCCTGGTTAGCGTGGGACAGGCTAGGCAGAGATAAGCATGAGAATTCCTGGAAGCATGGCACTCCATGAAGCATGCTATTAATAAACGCATTGAACTCGTCCCCATATACGTTCCACTACAAAGGAAAACCGGAAGTGAGGCAATCCATCTCAACGGACCCCAGAGTTTAAAAATCAGGCGGGAAAACACACCGCTTCGTCGGAGGCTGCACTGAGGATTTTACCAAGCATAGTAACGAAACGTCTGCGAAACAACAAACCAGCTTGGCGAGCGAGCCAACCAACCTCAACACCCACGACCCGAGCTACAGATCTACTCCAAAACCTTGTGACAATCATTTTAACTTTTAAAGTGTCATCATCTTAATAGGTTGCCAACTATTTGACCAGATTCTCATGTTTTTCTGAGTGTGACTTTGAAGCGACAAATTTCTCATTTTACACAAAAAAAAATTGTGTTTTAGAGCGAGGGCAACAAAGGAGTGTTGGGCACTGAACTGGCAACTGAAGTATCTGAGGAAGATCATCTGCAGGCTGATGAAGAGGTACTTTATTGTGCATAAAGCCTCATAACGAGAAATATCTTAAGACTTTTGCCTTCTTTTTAAAAGATTTCGATCATACCTTTTCATAATTCTTCAACTTTAGACTATCAGTCAAAAGCAGAGGCCGAAAATAAAGTTTATATTCACGTTTATTTTAATTGGCATGTATTTCCTTTTTTAGATATTAAGCTTTGCCAAGAGTACTACTTAGAAACTTCTGGAACCATGGAATTCAAATAGAGTAAACCAGGAAATGCATGTTAGACTGAGTTGCCTGGACTTTGAGGGCCATTTATCTGTACACTTGTAAAATTAGAATTGCATTAGCTTTATGTTAATACCTCTTAGCTCATTAAGCCTAATTTAATGACAACAGTTAAATGGATTATTCATAGTTAGTAAGTTGCATATGCTCAAGGATCAAGAGTAGGCCATTCAGCCCTTTTCAGATTCCTACACCAATTAATATGATTATGGGTGATCTAATTATGACCTAAAATAGATATTCCCTCCTACCCGATAAACTTTCATCCTCTTGCTTAACAAGAATCTATCTGCCTCTATCTTTTTTTTAAAAAAAAAGTACAAGGCCTCTGAACAGTGACCACCTGTTCTAGATTCTCCCATAGAGGAAACGTCCTTTCCACATCTTCACTGTCAACATTCTTTAGGATCTTTTGTTTCAGTCATCATCTTCCTCATCTAAACTTGAGAGACATGAACCTATGCTCATAAGACAATTCTCCCATTGCAGATATTGGTCAGAAACCACCTGAACTACTTCCAGTGCATTTGCATTCCCCCTCAAATAAGGTGACCAATACTGTGCACAGTATTTCAGATATGGTCTTAGCAGTTCCTTGGATGACTGAAGCATAACCTCCTATTCTTGAATTCAGTTTCCCTCACACTAAATGATAACAATATATTAGTGGGGCGACACAGTGGCTCAGTGGTTAGCACTGCTGCCTCACAGCGCCAGGGACCCGGGTTCAATTGCACCCTTGGGCAACTGTCTGTGTGGAGTTTGCACATTCTCCTCATGTCTGCATGGATTTCCTCCGGGTGCTCCGGTTTCCTTCCACAGTCCAAAGATGTGCAGGCTAGGTGGGTTGGCCATGCTAAATTGCCCGTAGTGTTCAGGGATTTGTAGATTAGGTGGGTTATAGGGGGAATTGGTCTGCGTGGGATGCTCTGTGGATCGGTGTGGACTTGTTGGGCTGAAGGGCCTATTTTCCAAACTGTAGGGATTCTATGATTCTTTCCTAATTCCTTGCCGTATCTACATACAAATCTTTTGTATTTGTGCATGAGGATATCCAGATCCCTTTGTATATCTGAACTTCTAACGTGAGGGCTTTTATTCTAAATAGCAGGGGATAGGAGTTCAATCAAGTTGATAATTTTGTGGCTGCTCAGGCCCAGGGAAACACCAATCAGTCTCCAACATTCTCATTCCCCAGAATTTGTTTGACAGGAGATTTTTAAACATCCATCCGTCTGTTAACAAACTGTTCAAGTTTTGATTATAGTGCAGCAAGAGAGAAGGTGCACAGAGAGGTAGATCCGGATTAACATCTAAAGAGCAGTTCGCTGTGCTACATTATAGGTTAATCATTTGATGTGGGATTTGAGTAACTAGCTAACGATGTTAGACCAACTATTTGACAATGATGGAATTTGGATTGGTCAAAAAATTGAATCTTGTAAAAATGGAACAAATCTTACTGTCAAATATTAACAGATTAATTTCTTTTAACATATCTCTGCAGCTTCGCATTAAAAGACTGATGACTGGAATGACAGTGATGGCAACTGAAGAGGTAATGGATTTAACATACAGAAAGAAGTTGGGGAGCTAATCAGAATTTCACTACCATACCTTGTACTAACGTAATTGAGAATTAGCTGTTTTCTTTCAAGTAACTCCAAGGTAATTGAGGAATCTGACGACTCTGCCCTCATTTGATCTCAATATTTTGATTATCGTATAAAATTCAGAATTTTCATTTCATGATGTCAATACACTGCCAATAATGTATTTGAGTTTTGTACATAGATAATTTTGAAATATTATGTTGTTTTATACCTGGACTCATTCATAAATAAGTTTTCACAATGCATTTGTGGGTTTTTGGAAACTGTTCATATTCCCTTCAATGTAGTAACAGTACAAGACTGAACAAAAATCATTGTTTTCTATTCTCTTGGTACTCAGTGTTCTTTTTAATTTGCTTTTATTTTGTACTTCCATTTATGGTAGTGAAATAGGAATGCATCCTTAATTCAGTCCAAGTCTTTCTGCTTTATTACTTCATGATACATCATAAAAAGTATTTACTCTGCAATAATAGTTTCTTGAATCCTTTGAGTAGATTTTCACTTGTGTATCATAGAACACAGAACATATTGCATTTTCTAGAATTCTGTTCTTTGTTTTATACTTTGTCTCGAGTCTTTCTTTTTGTGATCATGAAACCATTGAGGTGTGTGGGAAATTGCTGAATTACAATCCTGTCAGCATTTTTTCACTCTTTGTTCAATTTTTGAGAACTGAGATGCATTTAATTCTTCTAATAACTGAAAATATCTTCGCGAGCAAAGTACATCTCAGACTGAAAATCAGAAAATGCTGCATGTACTTGGGTTATAGTAGGTATGGTACAAAGGCCCACCCATCCCTTGCTGAAAACTTAGATTTCTAACTTTTCCAAGTACTCTTGAAAGGTCACAGACCCAAAAAATTAATTCTGTTTCTATCCATAATTGCTGCCATGACCTGCTAAGTATGTACAACATTTTCGATTTCCAGCCTTCTCCGTATTCTGCTTTTTGAAGTCTGTAGCATTTTAGGTGGAACTATATTGTTTGCACCCCAGCTTTCCGTATGATACAAATTAAGCTTCCATCCCGTATTCTTGCAATCTTAAAATCTATCAGTTGCTACATTCATTAGCTCTACTTGCTTCAACCCGTCTAGTGCAAAATCTTTTGGATGTGCCATTGTCGGGACTGTTGTACTTTAAAGTATTGTTTATTAATTTAGCAAGCCACTCCACAAAATTAACAAATACTCAAATCAAATGAAAAACACTGCTCACCAGAGACTGACTTCAAAATATTCTGCTTCCTCACATCTCCCCTTCTGCTCGCACTCCAGTTCATCATTAGTACTGCAGGCTAAATCCGTTGCTGAGTGTTTGCCATCCTGTTCTTACTGACATATTTTAACACTCCAATCTTTCAGCAGTTCAAATTTAGTTTGTAATCCTTCTCACAAGTGGGCAAGACACATAAAGAATTTGGGCTTTCCTCTTTGTTAATGAAGTAATAAGTACTTATGTTTTTCATGGCTACTTTTAGTGATACCAAGCGTTTTTTTTTCCTAAACTCTGTATTCAGAATCTCAAACTGCCATTTGTGTGTTCTCTGGATTGCTTGTTTAGTCTAATGCCCGTTGTTACCACCTAATGCCCAGCTCCCACTCTGAATCTCTCTACTCCATTAGATCCAACACCCATTCCATCCTCAATCAATCTTTTATCATTCTCCCCTGTTGTGTTCAGTTTATCTTCCATCTTCCATTTTCCTCCTATTTCTGAAATTCCTTTGAGATGTTTCTTGGTTTTATTGGTTTTATAAATGTAAGATTCCGTTTATTTCTTAATACTGATTTTAATGATTACATCCTTTAATCAGAGTGCCAATATATTTTAGTCCAGGGATTGAAGGGCCTTCTGCTTTTTAAGAAAAGCTTTCTTCAGAAAATGCCATATTGTTACTGCAATGGAAATAATGTAGCCACATGCAGTTTCTTCCAGCACTAATCCATTCTACCACTTCACTCTTTCTCCCACATTAAAGAAATGTGCTCCGTTGAGTATGATCACAGACAGCCAAGAAAACTATTCCAATAATAAACATCAGTGTTAAATGTCAGGAATTAGTTCAAAAACAAAGTTGCTGGAAAAGCTCAGCAGGTCTGGCAGAATCTGTGAAGGAGAAAACAGAGTTAACGTTTCGGGTCCGGTGACCTTCCTCAGAACAGGAATTAGCTACTTGGTATACGTTCGCTTTGTCCCTATCAAGATATTATTTTATGAAACTAATATATTTGCCATCGGAACTGGTATAAAATATGTAGCCTTTTTCTCATTATAACAGTGCAATATAGTTTAATTCATAAAAATATGTTTCATGTATAAATGTAGCCCAGTGGCACAAAGCTGTTTTACCTCTTGTCATCACTTGTAGATGTTGATTTTTAATAAATGTAACTATCCTTTGAACCTTTGCAGACCATGACCTGATATGCTTGCTTCATGTGACTTTCAGGGAAAACTGACTGCCAGTTCAGTGGGTCACATTGTAGGGCTCCAGTCAGAAGAGATTAAACAGATTGCATCAGAATATGCCGAAAAGGTAAGGTCCCTTATCGTATCCTTTGGGATTTCAATGCATTTCACAAGTGTAAGTCATAGGCAATTTGGACTCTGCATGGTGCTATAAATGGCAAATTTAGATACATAGGGGTTTTTTTTTTATTTAGGCTTTGTTCGGTCGAGAGACTTGGCAGATTGCTACTAGTTAATGGCATGACATTTATGACTGTTGGAACAGATTAGAATTTGATTTAACACATAATCTGAGAGTATTCTAAGAATGCTACAGCCTCACAGCTTGAATAATAAATGAGTTTGCACTAGAGCTAGGTTTTTATTACTTTGTTTAAGGCTGTGGTGGCAATTGGGGTAATTCCAGTGTTCTGCTGTGAAGGCTGGAGTTGAACACTGGGGCATGTAAGATGTGAAATATGAAATTAAACTAACAGTGAACTGAGCTTGATGATAGGATGATTATTTTCAACCAAATTGAGAGATTTTGCCTGCCTGTCAGAACAAGGGTGTGAGGTGAAATCTGTTTTGCCAATCTGAATTTAAATTTTTCGCAACTGAATCCAAGATTTTTTTTTTATGACATGTCGGACTAGGAAGGTTGTTGTGGTGGAAAGTAAACATGTTCACAAGTTTATTGTAAGAATATAACTAGGCTGTGAATTCTAACATCAAAGCATTGGCTCCCAGTTTAGCAATGTAGAATAGTGAATGCAGGTTAGAAGAGTGCAAGGAGACTTGCTGTTAAGATTTGTGCAGCAGAGCTTTGAATGAACAATGGTTTAAAGAGGATAGAATGTGGGATGTTAGCAAGGAATGGTTTGGAATAATCAAAACTAGATGGTTGAGGATTTTGGCAATACGTGAAGTAAAGCAGGTTTGGTGTTCTGCTGTTACAGGAATGGAAATTGATGTTGGAGTGGAATTCTGGTTAGTGTCTAAAACATTCTCTCTCTGCGCCCCCACCCCCCGGGGGGAGGCTTCAAGTAATTCAGCAGTATTGCAAACAGTCTGATTAAGCATTAGACATTTGCTAGGGCAGAGATGGAGTTAGTAGCTAGGTAAAGCTATTTGTAGAGACTATGGCTTCAGCATCCCCACTGTCTAATCGGAGATTTTCTGCATGTTGATGACTGAAAGTTGAGTAATAAAAGTCTAATTTAGAGACACTGGGGGTGTTGAGATGGACAATGGAGCTGGTTGTTGTCCACATACTTGTGGAAACTTTTGTTTTTGGATGATGATACTGAGGGGCAATGTATGTAAGAGATATAGGAGGTGGCCAAGAACGTTTGCAAGAAGTTATAGTGTGGGAGCAAGAGAAGCCAGTTAGGCAATTATGATGCCTGTTTATTATCCAGCTTATAGAATTCCAACATACTGGTATATCATAATTCATATCAATTAATAGTTATTCGTGATTGTATCACTATTCATGATTGCATGTAATATTAACTGCAGATTTGTGTACTAACTACCCCATTCAGACTGACTCAGAAGCGCATTACTGTATCAGGTTACAATCCGCTTAAAGGTGCAGTTACATTCCATTTAAAAGTGCACATAGCTTCGCTTAACAAAGCTGCATAAATGTCACAGGATAAAACATTTTTGCACTTCCATACCAAAAGTAGTGCTTTTCATATTAAAACCTAGGATCCCCAACCCCTTACTGCAAACTCCTTTCCAGCCAAGAATGGCTCCAAGAGTCATTCAAAGATAATAATTGGATTACCTTTCTTCTTTAAAAGTAAAATGCCACTTCCTTGCAGACGGTCTTGTACTACATTAAACACGTTTGATTTGTAGGTGACAGAATTTACCTTTACGCAAGTTTTTATTCAATGTCATGTATATAAGCAACCTTTAACCTACTAATAAAACTAACAACGCTATGTCCAGAACCACGCGACTTTGACTGAATGAAGGTATGAATGAAATTGACAGCACTACTGTAACAGACTGTGAAACTGAATGAATGAGCAACAGTAAAAGGAACCCACTGATAGACTGTGAAACTGAATGAATAGGCGATAGTCAACAAAAATCAGAGACAAATGCGATTAATAGAAATCCAAACCTTTATTTAACACACAGATACATTTTTACCAACATTCTAACTTCAGAAATAACATGGCTAACACCTTTTTGAGTTATGCAAGGACGAACCGAACAGACGCTCTAGTCTCATTAGAATAATGCTAAAACTTAGCAAGTATTTAAACCATCTCCAATTTCCTGCAGGCCGGTTTTCTGTACAATAGCCATTACTTAGCACTGAAGTGTTAGAATGTTGGTGTATGCACAAACTCTGTATAAAAGAGGCTACTTTTGAGCTATGATTTTGGGATTCTATTTTTGCCTCACATTGTGCTACTATGAATGTGCAATAAAGAGGCTATTTTCACCACTCACTGATCTCAGTCATCTGGTTCTTCCAACGTGATCCCACAATACTCAAAAACAAACAGAGTCTTCCCATTGAAAGAACCGTACAAGATTGTGCTTCAGGAAACTTTCAGAATTACTTTAAGCAAATTAATTACAATTTCAAATCAGTGAAAAATTATCCATTTGATGTTTTCAGTTCCATTCATTCATCACAGTCACTTCATTTGACAATAGCTATTTCAGCACATACGCTGCTCCTTTGAGACTTGGCAGCAAGCAGATGTTGATGGTAGTGTTGAATTAAAATGGCAATATTTATAATTGCAGCAGTCTGAGTTTTCAGCAGAGGATCGTCCTGAACGACTTGGAGCTACTCAGCAGCATCGAAGACAAGTTGCATCTCTGAAAAAGCAAATCTTGCAGAAATCTAAGCAGTTGGAAGAAGTAGGTTTGTTGTATACAGTCTTGGTATGAAATCCTCCCTAATAATTTGAATGTTTTTCATTATAAAGTTTACTACATTTTTTTTGATAACTGAAATGATAATTATTGAATCTGTTTTGAGTCATGTTAGAATTTGAATTCCTTTAAATTAAACAAGTGTACATACCTTAACCAGAGGATCTTATTGACTTTCTATTTTCAAAGTGGATTTTTCTCATTTTTAAAAAAATTCTAGCATTAGTGGCTTTTTATAACTATATTTAAATTGACACGTAGTAGTGGGATAAATATAATTTAGCAACTTTTTATGTTTTAACAGGTTGTATATAAAAAGCAAAATTGACCCAAATTGTTTAACATTTGATATTAGATTTGAGCAAGAATAGCATGACAATTAGTTTGCGATTAAGTGTTATCGGTGGAGATTGAGGTGGTTGTGAGATGTGGCAAGGTAGGAATTTAGGGTGAATGTTGTGGATTAGTCGGCCATCAATATTAAAATGCAGAAAGACTACACAATGAGCAAACAAGAATATTAAAAAAATGGGAAGAAGAGCTAAGGATTTTATGACTGAAATGAGAATTTTGAAGTCTGTGTATTCAAGTATAGGAAACTATTAGAAGTCACAGGGGAAAGAGAGCATGACTTGGATTTGAAAAAGTGCAGCATGAAATGAGGATTGCAGGAATGATATTTTAGAAATTGAAGGAATTTTTATTTGCTAGCAATACAGGTGGTGTTTGTGCAGGCAAGGACCAAAAGGAGAGTTTATTATTTGCCGTTATTGTTCGCAAAATTACTGACATGCCCATGATTTGAATTTAAAATGAAAAGTAGGCAACAGTTTGCACAGCAGAATCAAATCTAGTGAATGTTGATAGTCCAGTTGACAGTGGGATTTCAAAATGCTTGTTACAAACATACCATGCAAAAGCTAAGCACGGTTGGAGACTTGATTTTTGTTTGGGTGTAAAGTAATCAAGCGAGGGAAGAGGTTGAGATGGAAAGTCCTTCATGGTAACTTCTGGTGTGTGAGTTGAACCCGTGCTGTTAGCATCACTCTGCATCATAAACCAACTGTCCAACCAACTGACTTAACAGGCCCCCTGTAATGTAATACATTTTGGTAAAATCCAAGCATACTTGCATGTTCACAATTGCTGAGTGAAAAAAATCTGAGATTGTACTACCAGAGTCAGTGAAGTACTTTGTCATGATATTTCATGACCAGTGCAACAGGGCTTTAATGAAAATAAGTAGGATATTTGGGCCTTTAGCCAGACCTGATAAGCGTTTAAAATGAAGGATTAGATAGTCTAGTCTAAATTAAGTTGGGTGGGTTGTGGTAAACTAGGGGACAGAGGTGTAAGGCTCAAAATTAGGTTAGAAATGAAGTACTTTTGTAAGGGTTATTGATATCCAGAATAATTTGTATGTGTTGACTACAAGTATGTAGAATGTGGCTGTTAACTCTTGGATCACCATAAGTCACTGTATATGTACCACACTGATGTACTGAAATTATTGAACTTTTTTATTTTAAAAATAGCTTCAAGTGAAATATAGTGAGATTCGGGCTACATGTGAGGAAGCAAAGAAGAAACTGGTGGAGGTAAGATTTCTGCATTAGTTACCTAAGACAGTAAACATAGAAGGTCGGAGCAGTAATAGAACATTTGACCCCTTTATTCAAAATGATCATGGCTGATCATTTGAGCTCAGTACCTTAATCCTGCCCTCTGCCATTATCCTTGATCCCTTTAGCCACAAGAGCTATATCTACCTTCTTGAAAACACAGTATAGTAACAGTCAGTTAGCCCATCAGGTCTTTGCTGTCTGTTTTGAAGAAGAAACATGCTGTTTGTCTCACTTCCTGGCTGTTTCCCTCTGTCCCTGCAATTGCTTTTCTTCAATATTTATTCAATTCCTTTTTACTAATGTCTGTTAGAAATGATAATCATACTCAAAGAAATCCGTTATGTTTAAAGGAAAAGGTTTTCTTTTCCCCTCCCATCACATCTGACCTCTGCCGGTTAAATTAAAGCTGTATTTTCTGATTACTGATGTTTCTGCTGTCGGCAAAAGGAAAGATTAAAAGTGGATAATCTTGAGTAATCTGGTTGACAAAAAGACATGAAGAATATTGGATAGTTTGTTTACTTCGTTAAAATTTCTGTTGAGCATTGAAACTGTCAAAGTTGCACCGATCTAGAAATGTATTTGTCAATGCGACAAAATTGACACTAAATTGTTTCGCAATTTGCATACTTGTCAATATCATTTGACAGGTACTGTCTAACTTAACTTTGTAATATTTGTAAAAAATTACTTGATCACGTAAAAACATAATAGTAGATTGGTGATTGTCTGTGAAAAAGGAATTTTTCAACTCACCAGCTTGTTTCTCTCCACAGTTACGGCTTGACCTATTTTCAGCATTCATTGTATTTAGCTGACATGTCATCTCACTAAGGTTTTCTATTGACAGGTTGTGAATTATGGCCAGAAACTGGATAAAAAACTGTCTGCTGTTGAAATTGCAGAATCCCAGGCTGATTCTGGGTAGGTGATATTCACATATTTTAAGCCTTCATTATATTTTGCAGATTGAACAGCTAGATCCATACTTCTCAGTGCAATCTCAATTTTTAGTTCATGCAGCTTGGACAGAATCCTACTGATATTTTCAATTGGTGTTTTATGTATGAAACAGGAGACTATTCAGTACCTGAGCCTGTTCTGATTCAGTAAGATCATGGCAGATCTTTTTTTTCAAGTTCTACATTCCCATCTACCCTCAATAGGCTTGATTCCCCTTCTGAAGAAGAGTTTATTGACCTCTGTCTTAAATATTTAATGTCCTTGCCTCTGCCACCTTCTAAGGTGCAGAGTTCCAAAGTTGCACGTCTGTGACAGAAAATTTATCCTAGAGTCTGTGCTGAAAAGAATGTCTAATTTCATATAGTGATTATGAATGCAACTTCTATGCCAATAAAGTTGTTAATTAAATAATGGAAATAAACTCTGAAAATTATAAAAGCTAAGAATTTGGACATATGACTTGTCGGTTGCAAGGGAAATTCAAAGCTTTTGTCGTCCATGTGATGCATGACAGGTAAGGCAATGGTTGCGGGCATGTGGAATACAATATAGATTAACAGAAAATAGTATTTACAAGTTGATGGGGGTAAAAGACCTAATAGCAGCTTTGTCTAATGCATATGAACTTCATCTTTTATGTTACAAAGAGACAAATGCAAATTGGTCATCTGGACCATGATTAGAATCCTGGACATAATTGAGTCAGAACAATTTTACTTTTTTGGGATTTGTGCGACATATTGCCTTATTAAATAGTGAAGGTGTGCCTGAGAGCTGGAGAATAATGACTACAAGTGTCAAACAAGGTCAGTCATTTCCAACAACTCAATTCATCCAAGATTGTACAGTATAAATTGTACTGTTGCCATATCATTTAATTCTCAGTGTTTTCATGTTTTGCTTTATCTTTGTGAATTAAATGAACACTCTGGCTTTCCACGTTTGGTTATCTCCCCTTGCTTATATTTCCACAGTTGCAGCAGTTTAGGGACCATTTGATTCTGCAAAACATTCAAATATCTGAATAACAAAGTACTGTGCAAGTTGAGGGGGTAAAAAAAAGACTGCTAGCAAACACTTAGGCAGCACCTGTGAAATGATAACTATTAACATTTCAGTCTGATGACCTTTCATCTGCAAGCATATTAGCCATGATATTCAATTATTTCATCTTTTATTTCTGCACTTGATTTTTGCTCCTTAGTAGATGTGCCACTATCTTTAAAAGTATATTAATTCATAATTTATGCTAATCTTTTTATTCATTTCTGGGATGTGCAAATCACTGGCCAGGCCAGCTGCCAATTCCTGGTCGCCCTTAAGAAATTATTAAGTTAGAGATGTTACGTATATGAAGGTAGTTATTCATGCAGTGTATTTCGTATGTAAACCACTTTTAAGAAAATTCCTAATTTTTTTGAATTCCTTCTATTCTGTTAGATTGGTACTTAATTTCATTTTCACGTTACTTGTATTAGTTCAGCTGTGAAGTTACTTAATTTGAATAAAGACCTTGATTGTATCATTTTTTACTGCTGAAATTCAGTTTTCAAATAATGACGTGAAAGTCTTTGAAATCATTCTTGCAAAGAAATTACAACACAAAACCAGGATATTAACCTGCCCAGCCAGCATTTGTAGTTTGCATGAGCAAATCACTTTACTTACACTTTACTCCATTGTGCTCCAAACCATTTCTTTTTCTAGCTATTCAATTTAGTTTGTTGATACGGTTTCTGCTTGAGTTAATTACCTTAGAAATTAATTCCACAGCATCAAAATTCCATGAAGAGACTTCTGCCCTCTTTCAAATCTCTTCCTCCCCTATGCAAATGATCTGCATCTATGTAAGCAATCCCATTTTCTAACAAGTTCAATTTTCAAATCATTCTTTAGGTTTATATTTGCACACGTCAGACAACATCCTCACGATTCAATGGTGTACCTTCTCTGGAGCCTGAATATCTTTGCCATAGTGTAGAATACAATAATGCATTCTATTTCTAACGGTGGTCTTACAAATCTTCAGTATGCCTGGGTTCCCTTTGAAGATGATGAATGCACAGCATATTCCAAAATTAGCTTTGACCAAGATCTGCATTATGCTAATCGATGTGCTTCACTGCCTTAGTGAATAAAAGAAATTTACAGAAAAAATTGAGAATATAAAGAACATCATAAATTATGGACCTGTGAACCTAATGTCAGAAGCTACTGGATTGCATTGCTTCTCGGTCCTGTTTTATTTTGTAGTTACATAAATGTAGCTGTTTTGTTTTCTTGGGTTATCTAAAGTTTGTTTTTCATCGTTATGAGCTGTAGTGGCTCAAGTGTGTTTGTAAGATCCACAATTGTGATTTCAAATTAAAGACTTTTTTTTCTGACTTGCATTTTTCGCACAAAGCAAAATGCTATGAATGTTAAAGATCTGAAATATAAACAGAAAATTCATCAGATCAGGTAGCATCTGCACAGTGAGAAATAGATATATTTCAAGTTGATCAGCTCTCATCAGAGTCAGTGGTAACTTTTTGTTTCTCCTTCTGCAGAAGCTGCCTTACCTGGTATATGCCTAAAGCATCTTCTGTTTTTACTATTTTCTTTACTACTTGTATGATATGAACTTCTGTTTCCAATTAGCATACTGGAGAAGTTGAGAGCATTGGTCACAATGAATGAGGGACTAAAGGACCAGGAGCAGGAGTTTAGGAATCATTGCCGGGTAAGTGTTCAAAATTTTCTGGTTTTGTACGATTGTTCAGATTAGCATGCTTCTGACATAGAGAGAGACTGGATCGGTTAGGACTTTTCTCACGGAGTTTAGAAGAATGAGAGGGGATCTCATTAGATATCTATAACATTTTAACAGGACTGGAGGGTAAACTCCGGAAGGATGTTTCAGATGACTAGTGTCCAGAACCAGGGTCAGAGTCTGAGTAAGGATAGGCCATTTAGGACTGAGATAAAGAGAAATTTCGACACCCAGGGAGTGTTGAACCAGTGGAATTCTCGACCGCAGTGAGTGGTTCAAGTCAAAACATTGAACACTGTCAGGAAGAAGTTAAATATAGTTCTTTGGATCAAAGATACAAAAGGACATGGGAAGAAAACAGGAACAGGGTAATGAGTTGGTTTATCAGCAGTGATATTGAATAGCAGAGCAGGCTTGAAAGGCTGATTGGTCCATTCCTGTTTTCTATGTTTCTGTGACCAAAGCCTTAAATTGGTTTACCTGTCTGATGTACATTCAGTTCTTGAAGTTTTCAATTACTTCAGCTGTGAAGTTACTTAATTTGAA